GTCATTCCTCCTCCTGATCGAATTACTTATTTCCCACCATGTTTATTCTGAAAATGATATCCCAGTTCGAATAATGTCCCAGAATAGAGTGATGTGAATGAAGAAGACGAATCCATAGTAAATCATGATAGTTTTTGAGATAACTCAAAGTTTTCTCTTGATAGCAAAACACTGTATGAACATCGAAATAATTCTCCATCAGCAGGATTGACTCGGTACATTTTGAGACAAAGCAAACATCGCGATTTATATCGATTCTACCGTCACTTTATTCCGATCTGATGAAGTTGCAAAAATTAGAAGATAGTTCCTGATACCTACGTAGGAGAAATCATAATTGAAAATGTTATGATATTATTATAATAAAATAATTCCTCAATATTGATTCGTCCTTCTTCCTGTCACAGAATGAAATAGTGTATTATACAAGGAAAAATTAGTAGATTTTAGTTCAAGGTTTTTCGTCTCCCTCCGCTACGCGTTGGGAGACAATACAACGTGTAACAAAAATCTACAACTTCGTTTCGTTGTATAATAAATAACTATTTGATACGCCTTTGGCCTTATATGACATCATTGAAGTCGCACCAAAAAAACATTTCATGTCCTTTTCGTCATGAAGGTGAAGGGAAGTTCATTTCCTTCAGTGCTAATAATTCATCCCTTTTCAGGTTGACGATTTTAAATGCGCCGGCCACAAACCGTGGTTTCAGGAAACCTGCAATCAAATGGACTGTCCTACGTGGCTAACGACAAAGTGGTCAGGCGTGAGTATAATCCACATTATGTTTAGGGATTTATCGCTTCAGATCGCTGTGAGGCAGAGGCGGATTATAAGTGGTTTGCCATCGTAATTTTGTTTCTTCAATGGAATTTTCATAGATCAAATTGAATTTGAGACCTACCAACCTACACAGTCAGTATTATGGAAGACAATTGATAACCATAACTTACTTCCTGAATATGAGGTGATATCAGAGAAACAATATTCGATTAAATTATATTCATTATAAATGTGGTCAGGTGATAAATACGAAGTAACTACATATGGTATCGATCAGAATGGGATACAGATTAGTAGTAAGTAATCTACAGTTCGCAGACTCAACTCGAACTTCTTCACATACTAACGCACAGAAATGTAGTAAATTTCCGTACTAACTAACTGTTTCTTCTCTACTTCATAAAAATATTATGCGTCCTCTTCAATATTTCAATTATCGAAGTCATATTAGAATAATTCACAAGACAAATATATCCATCATTGGATACAATTTAAATTTTGTGAAATATTGGAAACTCGCGTGCATGAATCCCATTAGTGCATAATGTGTCTTATAATGGACGCTCCTTGTCTAATTTTTTGTGACGTCAATCATGCAGGAATTGAATGTTTCATGCGCCAGAACTATAAGTGTAGTTCAACAACAAGCAGCTTTCGCTTCTATTTCATGAATTTGTAACTCGACAATATTCTGCACGTGATCAAATGGATAACAATTTGTATTGCACCCGACAAGGAGGGTAAGTATTTATTATAACGGAGTATAATGAATTTCAGAATATCCTATCCCTCAAGATCTCATTATATGCATGTGTTCATGAACCTATAAGGTAATTCGAATCATTATTTTTTTTGTAAGACACTCAAAATATTGCTTTTGTGTTGTGTCCATCATAATGGACTCTATGCATATCGGTCATCAAGATTTTTTTGTAGATCATTCTTGCAACACCTCTTAGACATATGGAAAATGGCTCAGATATCGATCAATCAACAGATAATCATATATTATATTGCCTCCAGAAGAAAAGTTGACAGAAATGCAGTTATTCGAATTTAGAAACTGCCAATCCATAATAAATCATATTTCTAAAGGAATTATCAAACAGCCGTGCGACTTTCGTTATTCTGATCCTGATTTTGATGAAATTGAAAATAAAATACATCTTTGCATTATGAAAAGGAATATTATAGCATCAAATGATTGTACGTTATACTGCAGCACGTCAACTATAGACACGACTCCATCCACTCGTTCGACTCCTCTTTTTCTCTTCCTTCCACTGGATCGTGTGAGGTGCACCAAAAAAAGGTCAGGAAGTATCATCCCAAATAATTTCTTGATATGATGCATGTCCATATGCCCATCAGCTGAATTCCATTCAGTAGAGTATACAAAATTGCAATTTTATATGTAAAATAGGACTGCATCTGAGAGATGCTTCAAAATGTATCAAGTCATCATGATGTATAATTTTCATTATTATTATCATTATTATTATTATTGATAATATTGTGATTGATGTTATCGAGTTTTTCATGTTCTGGATATGGACTTGAATGAAAATGAATACTGGAATTCCCTACTGATCACTTTCATCAATGAACCAATTTGCATAGAGTCCATTAAAATGGACGTGTCATTTAAAAAAAATCTGTTGTAAAAAAAAATTGTTCGTCATGAGTCATCATTCTTTGGGTATATATGAATGAGTTAACATCTTCAGAATATAGAGATTTAAAAAAAAATAACTTCATGCACTAATGGGATAATATAGGTAAATTCGCCAGGTTATCGACGGGCGAAATTCAACATGCGCTCACGAAAAATAGTTATCTTTTACAACAAGAATATGGTTATATTTGAGTTGGCCTACTTACAAAAATCATTGTAATTCATCTCGAATTCCATTGTTATGCGCCTTGTTATCGAACGAATAATGTTATTGTTACTGTTGATATACCTTCTGATGTTCAAAAACAACAACGATAAAGTCGATAGACATCACTTGCGTCAAAAAGTCTTTCAATCGAAAATGAATCAGAGAGTAACTTTCGAAGCTCGGCAGACATCAGAAACGTATATGTAAATACTGAAAATTCATTCAAAGGGGATAATAATCGAAATGAACATCACCAATTATCAGAAATGTACTCAATTATTAGGAAATATATTATGGATGAAGTAGCTACAACGTCGTAGAAATCTCAATAGTACCCATGGAGTAATTATACTACTACTTTATTGTGATATGGTATGACACATTTGCTTTTGTTTTTGAAAATATTTCATTTTTTCATCTGAAGAGTTTCCAGAGTCACCAGACTTCGGACACATGTTGAAAACCATATGAAACCTTCATTTACCTACTCCACTATGGACTTCGGGAGCAATTTGAATGAAGTTGAGAAAATAAAATTCACCAAATTCTTGAAAGCATTGTGTCTGACTTTTTTAGTCTTGGAGGATGACTTCGAACTCGCATTGTGAAGAATGAAAAAGCAATATCTTGCTATCAAAAATGATCATTTAACATAAAAAATGTTGCACGAACGATGACAACTCATGTCATACACACAGTTTTTTATTAACCTACTGTCATATTTCAGTCGGTTAGACAGCAAGTTGGAAGCTTTCTCAGACTGATGCTGCTAAAAATATTTTTTTGGAGATGCCAGTATAATATTTAAGTCAAGTTTCTGATTATGTAGTTGTAGAAGACAGTGTTAATGAACTGCAATATTTTTGTGTTCCATAGATGGATATCAAAGCTGTGATTTTTGTGGAAAGCAATCGATCCAAGGTATCACTCATGACGAAAACATAACCTAACCTGATTTGACTTCATATGTAGCATTATGCCCATTATACAGTACCTAATCTACGTTAGCATCTAGAATAATACTTGAAAATAATCATTCTTGTTCTATTCATTCTTGAAGTTTTGTATTCCGTTGAGCATATATGAGTGTTCCACCATTATTAAATGTTTTTTTCAAACTCCTTCATGCATGGCCATATTTTCGACACCATTTACACTTTTTTTTAATAGGATGAAAAATATTACTAACCAATCTTCCATGGCAACTATTTTTTTTTTCAGGTTCTGAACATGTTAAACTTGCCGTGACTTGTTATCCACAAATATTTAATTATGTGAACAATATTGAAAATATCTAATAATGAATATGATAAGGAACACTTCATGAATCTAACATGAATAATAATTACAGGTATCTTCAATGATATACCATGACTATATTCTATAATAATATTGAGATTGAATAATTGTTAAAAAATGTGTGCTATTCTTTCCTCCATCAATATTTTTTTCATAAATGTCTGTCATAGGATCAGTTACTTCATCAATTGTGAATGAAAGGAACAACCAGATCTGCTCTTTGAATTTTTTTCCTCCCAAGAAGCTCTCTATAGGTCGTAAAGATACCCATCTTCCCTGCTCTTCTTCACATTTTTTTGTGGTTGATCCGGATTTATCATTTGTGTAGTTTTTGTAGAAACATCACCCAGGAACTTTCTTGTAGCTCTGGCTCATGTCCGGAATCATCAGAAAAACGGTGTTATTTTGATTATCGCCCTCTATTAAATAATAATATAATATTGGAGACCGAAAACATTGTCAAAACATCCTTTGGACATGAGCCTTGTGAAACATTATTGCTAGTATGCTCTGAATCCAGATAGAAATTCCATTCAGCATTTCCGTTCAACTTTTGAAAGAATGTCATGAAACTACGCTCATATAAATACGGACATAAAATGGGCGAACCTGCCTTTCCACACCCAAATCACTCATAATCACCGAACATATTCGGGGGTAACGACTGAACACGCCAACGATTTGAGTCGATAGCCATCCCCACTTCAGCGGTATTCTCGATTGAAAGAGAAAATAACTGATTGTCCGAAGTCAAATGTACTGTCCGCAAACGCCTTATTTGACGATACTTCTCTCTCCAGTGTTCCGTATCGTGTGGCGAAGGCGTCCAAGTCAGAGGCGTCGAGTGCAGGAACTCCGACGACGCCCCCAGCGCCCTCTGTTCGCCAGAGCACAAGCCTCTAACAACCAAGCACTGCTCCACAGGCATCCAGTGCCCCTTCAGCATCGAAGCCAGCGACGAGCTGCTGCCCGGACTGTACCACACGCAGCCCCTAGTCCAGCCCTACCCGCCTCCGCCGATGCCGCAGCGGCTGATCGGTGAGCAAGTGGTGCCATCTGAGAGCACGTGAGTATTTACATTCACGAAAAGATTGTCAATTGGTTGTCGTGCGCACAGCACTATCATCATTTTTAGATTTTTAGATTCAGTGTTCATTGTTTCGTTGTTTGCTTTCGAGTACCTCGATCATCTCATTACACGCCATTTAAAGAGTGTGGACACGCTTGTTACCACTGACATTTTCGAATTGTCAACATTCTCAGATTCAAAACGTCACTTCTGAAAATTGAATAGGCGTCCAACCGAAAATGTTTTCACATATTTATTTATTTATTTATTTATTCGTCTTTCATCCATACAAACCTATTGGTTTAATTACATGGACAAATCATAAACTGAAAAAAAAAATTACACATAACAACTCACATGAGTTGATATTAGATAGCAAATAAGACTATAACTAAACTTTATATACCTATTCCATCTAGGACTATAAAAGCAATCCTGATTCACATCGAGGAAATTACAAGGTAATCAAATATCTTCCTTCGATACGATGATCTAGATTGCGTCCACTCTAGATCGACAAATGGATTCACATTATTAGCTAATTTTAACATGGCTACAAGAGGGGTTCTGTTAGACAAGAATGATATGTTGAAAATTGTTACAGAGCGAACTCTACGAGGAGGAACATGAAATCTTATTAAAGATAATATGTTAGGTGCATTAATATTATTATTTACGATATCATATAGAAACATTATCAAGCTAATTTGGCGTCTATTATCCAAAGACATTATTTTGAATTCATTTCTCAGTTGTGTAGTCCTAACTGTATTGAAATCTGGCCATACATGGTATTTTTTGAAATATAAATATCTAAGAAATTTATTCTGAATCTTCTCAATTTCTTTTAAAGCTGTCTGATATTCTACACACCAAATAGTAGAAGCATATTCCAATTTAGTTCTAACTAAAGTGTAATACAATAGTTTGATAGTATTCAAGTTGGTAAAATTTGCACTCTGTCTAATCAAAAAACCTAACATACGATTAGTAGATTTAAGTACATTTCTTATATGACCTGCAAAGGAATGTTATTATTATAAGTGACACCTAATTCTTTAACCTCCGAGCATTTATTAAGTATATTGTTATCCATCATGTACTCAAAATTGACAGGTTCTTTTACACGTGTTATTGTCAGTGTGTAGCACTTGGCGGTGTTGAAATATAATTTGTTTATACGACTCCATTGTAAAACACTATTTATATCCTTTTGTAACATTATACAATCCCTTACCGTTTGTACCCTTCTAAATATCTTGAAATCATCCTATGTCTTGTTAGGTATCGAATTGCAGAAATTCTAAGAATAATGGTTACCGTTTATATATGATTTGCCAAGAGGAGAGAAAACATTTCAAGTGATCATCAAAGCTTCACATTCCGATATTCAATGATTTTATATTGAGATAACCACAAAATGAGTTTTATGTGCCTTTGGTGTGACGCCACTGTTGGGGTTTCAAATAATAATATGGTCTGCACTAGGTCAATGGAAAGGTACAGAAATAGTTATTTTCCCAACAAGTGCGCTAAGTGTTACTTTTCCACACGCAAATACAGTTGGGCGAATGACACGGAGCGGAGTTCGAATAAGTTTTTGCGTGCAGAAAAGACACTTTGCGCACGTGTTAGGAACAACGTTTTTCCTAAAAACTTATTGAATAATTTTTAGCTAAACTTGATAGAAATAGCTAAACAACAAACAATAACATATCAATAGAATATCCCAATCAGCCAATGTACGTCTTAAAGGCGTCTTTAAGACGTACATGTCGGGACATAAGTACGTCTTAAAGATGTACATATTGTTTAATACTCAATATTCATTAGAAATAATTATAATAATAAATCAATGTGATATAACTTCATTGACAACTTTATTATTTCTGACATAAACATCAATGTCCTAACAATCATATCACTAAGAATACAGGATGATATAATTATATTCCGAACACCTTCCTTTTTGAGAAATCATTATAACAAACTAGCTCAAAGATTAAGGCGTCTGGGAGACCTGATTCTTCTACCGAATCTAGATACTCTTTGATTCTCTAAGTTAGGTACTGGAGTGTCATTATCGTCATGCAATGGTGTACGAACTACACTCCGAAAATCGTCCTGAATGTTCCGAGGAACGTTACCATGGTCGGATAAATGGTCAAAATCTAATTCAGGTGGTAGTTGTTCCCTATCCTGATAACTGGGCTTGGTTCTAGATGGCTTTATGTGAATTATATTTCTGCGCACTATCTTATTATTACTGTGTTTCCGAACCCAATATGATCTCGGTTCATTCGCTTTTTCAAGAATGGTCCCCTTTTGCCAATACTTTTCTTTATTCGTTTTTATCACTACATCATCTCCTTTTTCATAATCAATAGGTGATCTACGTGCACGTTCATCATATCTCTCTTTTTGAGCTAATTTTTGTTCTTGTAATTTTTCATAAATATGCTTTTTAACTTTTGGTGTCAATTTCTTATGTGTTAGTGGCAAATTAGTTCTCAACCTCCTACTTTGCACTATTTGCGCTGGTGATGCGTTTAAGTTGATTATTGGAGTATTATTATACTCCAACACAGCTTCTCTATAGTCCTTGTCATCATCATGGCATTTTCTAAGAATTTGTTTACAAATTCCAACTGCCTTTTCAGCCATGCCATTGCTCTGGTGATGATGTGGTGCGCAAGTGCTAATAGTGATATCTTTCATTTTATAATAATCTTTACATTCACATGAAATGAATGGAAGATTGTCAGCTACAAGTACTTGTGGATATCCGAATTTAGTGAACGTGTCTTGCATTGAATATATAACACTTCTTGAAGTTTTGTCAGTTAAAGGAGATAACGTAATCCAATGTGAAAAATAATCAATCAAAACTAGGTACGATTTTCCACCAAACTCTAATATATCCGCACCTACTTGATTGAAAGGTAAGTTTGGTACAGGGTGAGGTAATAATGGTTCTTTGAAATTATTAGGCATATATTTTTCACAAGTACGACACTTTTGGATATATGTAGTAATGTCATTAGACATATGAGGCCAAAAAAATAGTTGTCTTGCCTTATTTATTGTTTTACTGATACCAATGTGTCCTTGGTGTAGTAATTCAATAACAAACTTCTTGAGATTATGAGGTACAATTATTTTATGGTTGAGAAATACAATCCCTGCTTCTACAAATATATCATCTTTCATTTTATAAAACGGTTTTGAATTTTTCGAAATTTCATTTTCTTTGGGCCATCCAGTGTGATAATATTTTGCGATAGTAGACAAAACTGTGTCGTTAGCAGTTTCTTCTCTGAATTGTGATTTTCGTTCTTCGCTCATAGGTAGATGCCTCGAAACTGAATGGACCATTTCTAACATGTCAAGATCACGAGTAGTATACTCTAAACTTGATCTCGATAACATGTCAGCAAAGTGAATCTTTTTACCAGGAACATAGTACACGTTCAGCGAATATTTTAATAGTTTAAGTCTGAGACGCTGTAGCCTGACTGAACCTATTTTGCAAATTGATTTTTTCATAATTGATACAATTGGTTTATGATCCGATTGAACATCTATCTCATGACTATAAATATAATTGTGAAATTTCGTAGTTGCAAAATATATTGCCAGCATTTCCTTCTCTGTTTGACTGTAATTGATTTCTGCATCATTCATTGTACGAGAAGCGCAAGATACTAACCTTAGCGATTGATTCTCATAGACTTGAAATAAACAGCATCCTATTGAACTTTTTGATGCATCACATTGCAGAATGATTTTCTTATCAGGGTCAAACGGTACAAGGGCGGGGGGTTTAGTAATAATATTTTTTATGTCATCAAAAGCTTTATCGTGAGATGGAAGCCACTGCCACTCAACATTTTTCTTCAAGAGCTGAAATAACGGTTGCATATATTTAGTCATATCAGGTATATACTGTCTGACGTAATTGAAAGAACCGATGATGCGTTGCAATTCTTTTTTATCTTTCGGGGTTTTCAACTTGACCAATGACTCAATGCGATCTGGGTCAACTTCCATTCCCTTATACGAAAAGATTTGTCCCATAAATTTAACTTGTTTTTGTTTATATTGGACTTTTTCTTTATTAAACCGTGCATTGATTTTTCTAGCTGTCTCGATAACCTCATTTACTGCCCTATCATGTTCTAGTTCTGTTCTGCCTGATATAATCATGTCATCATGACATATTTCTACATTTTTAATGTTCCCAAAATGCCTATCTACCTGTTCGTGAAACAGATCTTGAGAGTTGGATAACCCATATGGTAAAACTACATATCTATAAATTCCAAAAGGAGTTGCGAAACAACATTTCCAAGATGATCCCTCTGTTAGTCGTAACTGATGATATCCCTCAGACAAATCGAAAACGGAGAAAAAATTTTTACCTACCAGACTTTTACTAATTTCTTGTGGTATTTTTGACAAAATTGGTTTTCTTATAATTTGTTTGTTCAAGTCAGATGGATCAAGACACAACCTTATTTTACCGTTTGCCTTTTCCGTGATGACCATGCGATTAATACTTGCACAAGGATCAATATCATTTACTTTAACCAAAGCTTTTCTTTTAACTAATCTATCTAATTCATCTTTCAATGGTTGTCTAATAGCAAGAGGTATTCGTACAGGAGGGTAACTGACACTTTCAAAATTTTCGACAGTAGTTATCTTATACTTACCTGGAAACTGACCTGAGCCTTCAAAAACATCAGCATTTTGTTTTATGAAAACTTCTTTTCTGTTATCGATATTTTTCCCAATGATATTCACCCTTTTGATCAGTTTCATATTCAAACATGCTTTCCCACCTAATAGGACTTGATTCGCTCCATCTACGATCATAAAATCTTCATATATAGATGTGCTTTTATATTTGCAGCATAAATTCACAATACCAATCGGTTTTGCCACAGAACCTTCAAAACCTTTCAGAATATAGTTTGTAGACCTAACATTGAAAC